TTTTTATTATGTACCATGTTCTTTTTATTTTATTACCAGATTTTGTTATTAGTCTACTGTAAAACTGCGTTCTAGCTTATTTTATAACATCATTCAGGATTTTATTTAATATAGAATGCTCTTGTTTTTGGGTGATAACTGTTCCTGCTGTAGATATGATTCCTCTTACATTTGCAAGATATTTTTATTCCTTGCATAATCCAGTTTTTCTTGATTTTTCCTATATTATTATATTTGATTGGCAAACTACCTTCTTGATACTTAAAAAATATACAAAATTGAATTAAGCTTATATTTTGATATTATTGTCTTTTTTAAAAGAGAAGTTACCTGCTACAGCTGTATCATATTAATACAAAATATTATATTATTCATGAGCTACTGGACTGATTGGTAATTTATTATTCTAGAGGTTTATGAAGAGCTGAACCTTTACTTGCATAATGCTTCATCCTAACTGAATCATAGGCTTTCCTGAAGGCTATAAATAGCTGATATGTCTTCCATTGTACTACTGATTTTTTTCTAGTACCTCAAAAAAGCAGAATGTCTGCTCATTGTTGACTGATGACATAAGAATCATCAGTGATGATCCCTAATAATTCCATGGGTGTATTGAATTAACCTTGACAGAGAATCTTCTACTTACAATGTAATAGTTACCCCCAACTTTATGAGGTCTTCTCTTTAATCCACAGCCAGAAGACGTTCTGTGATGTAGTTACTACGGACCAGCATAATATGGACTTTTAAGCACATTTGAAACTGAAGGCTAGCATAACATGTACTATTCCCCGCTTTTTTTAAGCAGATTTCAAACTAAAGGCTACAGAAATGTACCTATTAGCTTTGCTATGCCTATTCATCTGTGCATATGTAAGAACGTGAGAGCAAACAGCTAATTGGATTGTCAAGATGTTATATGTTATGGAATTTTCATATTTGAAGAGACATTTCAGTTTTGTTCAGTGAAAGTGACTTTGTTGTAGTGTTGGACAATCACCAGCTAGTTATGCAACCACACTGAGCAAAGTTGTCAGTCTTCATATTAACACCGTCAGCCATGCAAACAGAGGCCAGGCACTCTACTCAAGCTAAGGTCATTTGCCACAAACACCTCTGATGTCACTGGCATCATTCACAAAGGACAGATAGTGTCAGAATGGTTGCAGTTGTCATACTTGTCCTTACTTGTTTTTATTTTCCAAGTCGACATTTTCAGTGTCTATACTGATTGTAGAAGATTCCGTTGGCTTGAGAATTGATGAGGTTTATACACTATCAACTTTTTCAATAAGAAAGGTAAGCTTCCTTTTAACCACATTATTTATGGTTCTGTACAAATGTATCCATACAGGCATGCTGTTTTTCGGTAACTGTTTTATAAAAAAAACATTTCTGCAAGACAATAATTGTATATGTGTAACAATGTGATATGTGGATTCGGTGAAAGATGAACCTCATTCAGACAGTGAGACTTGTCAAGATGGAAATCAGGTCATCAGTGTAAAAGCTAAGGATGTCTCAAATGTAGAAATTGAGGAACTTCATGTTCCAATAACATTTCCAGTTATAAAGGATGAATAGGAAGTATGTCCCTTAAAGTGTCTCTTGTCCTCATGTGTGTCTGTCCATCCAAATGAAAAAAGTGTCTTCTGATGAATAAATTTTGAAATTGTATCTAAGTTATGAATGGTATCACAGACGATCTTCAGACATTTGTAGATTCTGCGAATTATTCTACACATGGAATCAGAACACTGTGTTTGTTTTTGCAGTACATTCAGGCTCTACCCCGTCCATAACATAACTAATAGTTATAAAAAGTTCTCCAGTCATTATGTCATAATGTGGTTAAAAAAGATACCCGTCTTTTGTTCATTATGTTGTGGCTACCATGAGCATGACCTTGTGGAAATATTACCCCTACAGGTGGTTAGCAGTGACTTTTAAGTAGGCATGTTCCTTCCCAGTCTTACATTCAAAATTACAAGGCAGTTCAGCAGAAATGTGTTCTGAAAACCTATTTTATTTTCATGTGATTCTTAAAAATGTCTCTTTCCACAATACTTGAACATAATTGTTCAGGTGGCAACATGTTTACTGTTTGTAGACTGAATGATGTATTTGCATGGCAGCCTGCCTGAGAGAACCCAGCTGTCAAAAACCTCAACATGGAACTACAATCAATGATCATACACATTTATAAAAGTTGTGCTTCCTGAAAGGGATCTGTGCTCTGGCAATGCAGATCATTTATGCAAGAAGCAGTAACTACTGTATTGAATGGTAAGTAAAGTACACACTATGTAGGTGGTTGGGGGAGGGCAATTATAGATCCAACTAATTTTTAATCTTCCAGTCTATGAAGCTCTTCAATGTGCAATTTTCTCTGTGATACATAACCCCTCCCATTATCCTCAAATATTTTTCTCCAAAAAATTTTTGAAAGACCATAGATCCATGTTCTTCAAGGTCAGAGGCCAAGTTTCACATACATACAGCATAACTGACAAAATTACAAGTCAGTATTGAAGGGTCCGGTGACCAAGTAACACTTTGGTAAACATAACTGAGTAGCTTTCCATCCCCTCCTTTATAAACTGAGGAAGGAATTAGATCCAGCTTCTGAAACCAAGTGTTCTTTTTTCAAAAAAAAAAAACGATTGACATAGTCCTGGAATGTTATTGTTCCGATGCCTAAATTACACTTTTGTGTACCTTCGCCTTTGTTTTTTATATATAATTTGCGAATTATTAAGCAGTTATTCGATTTGTACTAATTAAGGCCGAGCACATTCGCCCCTACTACGAAGTTACTGTATCGATTACTAAAATACCACAGCAACAAGCAAATGTGAATTCATGTAGCGAAAAAAATATATACTATTCGGATATATTTTGCGTTTAGACAGTTTGCCGATAGACATTGCATGGAAATAATATAGTTGAGAAATATGTTTTTAAAAAAAGATTAATATATGGCCCATAGCTTTTTTGTACAGATAGTGTGTTGATAAATATTGTTTTGTAAGGCGCGTTATTTTGACTGCACCAAGTCTCAAAAGTGAGGTTATACTCATTAATTCAGTGAATTCAACATAACTTCGCTTATGAAGATGAGCCAGGAGGCTAAAAAAACAAAGTTATATTCTTCGAGAGTTGTCTATGTTTGTGACCTACTGCTTTTTAAAGAGTGTGACAAAATTCCTAACATCTGTGGAAGGGTATGTTGTATATAATTTAATGTATTTTGGTTTTCCTTGTTCGTCACTTTTCACACATTCAGTTCACTGACCATTCACTAGAACAATACATTTCTGTCTGTTGTGACCATCATTATGTTCGATTCCCCGTTTTTGTGTAATTTCTCTGGGTATCGTAATTTCTCCTCCCTATGTAAAGAAATAATGTAATGTACTTACGAAATTGAATTCGTTCACCTTCTCGTGTAAGCAGATCATATTCTAGAGACATTTTTATATTGTAGATTATTATTATTGTTATATTTTTCAAATATAATTTTTGTTATGTTTCAAGTAATGCCATAGAATTTTTTCATTGTTTTTGAGGTTAGTGAAATAATTTTGTTCCTTTTTCTTGAATTTTGTTGTACATATTTTCCTCCTAATTTTACAGGAATTCATTCACTTGCATATGTAGGTTTATTGCATGATACTAGGAACATCTGTAGTCATCACTAGTTAACATGGGTAATGAATTGTTTTTTCCATCTAGGCCATTCTAGTTCATAACCTCATAAGAGCGTATGACTTGTTGTCACATATGCATCTCATCCCTTCGGAGCCTGCCTCTGAGGACATTTTGCTGTCTTTCCATTCCAGGAACTACATTGAATTTCTTCAGAAGGTAGAGGAAAGTAGTGACTTGGAAAACCACGAAGAAGATTTACTTGAATTTGGGTTAGGTATGTATTTGTTTCATTACTAACTGATTTACTCTTAATGTATTATTCTGATAATCCATCCGCAGTGAATGTGATATTTGTCTGAGAACGAATTATTCCTGCCCTTCTGGTATCCTGAAGAAAATAATCTGAGATTCAGATGTGGTGAGTATTTTGGACATGTTTATCCAAGTCCAAATCATCCAGGATATCTGTCGGAGGTGGCCATATCATGGGAATTTTCACTCAATAAGTCTAGAACCACATATGCCATATGTAGTTTTGCCCAAACTTGTTCGGATAATGTTTCTTCCATTTTCATTCCCAGGGCTGAACAAAATAGCCTTGAAAGATCTGCAAGTAGCGTGTGGATTTCTTATGTCATACAGGAAGATCAGTGGGAAGTTTCCATCTGATGAAATAGCGTCCCACACTGCATTTTTCAGGACGCAGAACATGGGGATTATCAGTGCCTGAGATATGCATAATTTATTTATTGATATGTCCATTTATGTGAAGCTGAGCTTCAGAGAACAACATATGTTGAATAACTGTTTGCTGTTCTTCTAAATATTAATGAAATAATTCACAAAAGATGACTTAGCTATCTTCATCAACATCCGTTACTGCTTGTTGGATCTGAATTTTATAATCAAACATTTTCGAGTCTTTTCTTATTATGGTTAAAATGGTTGATTGTTTTAATCCTTTAAACCAAGCTCTTGTGGCAGCCATTTTACAGGTTTCCCTTGGCTAAGCACAAGTGCTCTCTGTGTATATGCAGTGTTTTCTGGTATCCTCTCAAACTTCTTTCTGCCAACCCAGGCTTTGAATGTTCAAAATCTTCACTCACATTTATATTGTCGATCTTTTATGACTTTCTCTGCAGTCTCACTCTAAACTCGCGCTGCATCATACAACATTTCCAGTTTGATAAAACAAACTGTTTCATACAAAACACACACTGGTCACTTGTGTATGACAACTTGCTTATTACTGCTTGCTGAATGTCCCGCTTAGGAAGCACGAATAATTGATCAGAAAACTCTAACCATTACATGTTTTATGACACCAAATTTATTAATTTTTTTGCACTATATCAGCACGTATTGGGATTTGTAACACCGATGTCTTTTCTTGATGATCCTATATATTCTGTACGGGTGTAAAACCTGGTTTCCCACCCATAGGGAAGAACATAGATAAGCACTTTAATGGGGATGCCCTAAATATTTTGAGCTAGAAAGCTCTTTGCTTCTCTTGGTATGTCCTGATTTTATTTGGTTTGTGTTAATTGCTCTGGTGAAATGTAAGTGGTCAGTAACAAATCATACAAAATCTGCTGTCTTTTGACAAAAAACTTGTGTGTTCATTCCACTATACATTAGTCGGTGAGGTAAGAAATATCGAGCACTCACAGGTTTAAGGGTTAGGCTTTAGGATTCCATGACATTGAAAATTTATGTTGCAATTTTCTTGATGTCACATCCCAGACTATCAAAATCTGTAGATTAACCAATCAAAATGCAAGCTGTTGCCTATTATGAAGGAGACTTGAACATTACATTGCTCAAAATTCATTTGTTTGACTCTGTGAAATATTAATACATTTTAATCTAGTGGATGGATTTGTTGAATCTTTCTGGATGAGACAAATGTAAATGTCGTGAGTAGCTTTAGATATGGATGGATTTACTGTCAGTATTATTGAAATGTTGACATTTTAGAGCAAGTTCAAATATCTGTCTGGTAGTAATGTCACTGAAACATGTTGTCTGCAGGATCATTTTATTTCAAGTATACAATCTTCATCTATTGGATATTGGTTGGATCTAGTTAGCATGAACAGATAATGTCATTATCAGCTATTTGATACTACTAAGACTTTAGAACTGATGAAAAAGAAAAAGACTGCTTGATATTTTTGGTCATATCATTGCTAAAAAATAATTAAATAACCTCCATAATGCCACTGGTTTCCATTGTATTATTTTTGCATTTGTAAACATTACAAAAAGCTTCTGTCCCTGCATCATAATTGTCCGTATTCCGTCACACAAACTCATCACAAGAAACTTATAGAATTGCCTTCAGTCATGATGTACACAGCTGAAACAGTGCTTCAATGAGTTCTCTTCATCCTCATGGTACGGAACTTCTGTACCCTGAAACCAAGGACTACATTGGTTCGTAAAACATTGGTGCTTCCTCCATCCAACCGTATGACATGGCTGGTAGCCTGAGAAGAATTTATTATACTCCATTGCTATGAAAGCTTTAGATCATCAATGACATTGCTTTCTGTATCTACTGGAAGGGGCACATGGTGACAGGAAATGCAGGGGAGAAATTAAAAATCGAGAATATTTCTTTGCAAGGAAAGATGTTAGATGTGAAATAGAACTTGTGTATCCTTCCTTCCTCTGTGGCTCTGCAGTCCTCTGAGGACTCTGGCCTCTCTTATCACAGTCTTCCAGTCATCCCTTGACTCTGCCTTCCTTCGCCATCTTACTCCAATGGTTCTCATATCTGCCTCCAAATCATCTATCCATCTCATACGTGGTCGTCCCCTCATCCTCCTTCCACCTGCTTGACCATTTAACGCCTTTTTTTGGATACCTTCCGCCAGTCATCCGTTGACCATGTCCCATCCATCTCAGTCCGCCTATCTTAATAGTAGCAACCAGATCTGGTTCTTTGTACAGGGCTCTGATTTCTTCATTCGTTCTTATTCTCCATTCGTCTCCTTCCTCCACTGGCCCAAATATCTTTCGCAACATTTCCTCTCGCATACATTAATCCTCCTTTCTGTTGTTTTTGTTAGGACCCATCCTTCACTTCCATTCATTATTACAGGTCTCATAATAGTTTTGTACATTCTCAGTTTGGCTCTTCTACTTAAATGTTTGCTTTTAAGGAGTATAAATAGAGCCGCATAACATCTATTGGCTGACTTAATTCTATTAGTTATGTCTGTTTGAACATTATTATTATCTGTCATTACTGAGCCCAGATATTTAAAACTCTCAACTGCTTCAAAAAGGTTATCTTCTATATGGATATGTTCCTTCTCCCTTTTGTTTCTTTCCGTTACCTTATATTTGAATTTGGCTTGACTGATTTCTAGTCTCAACCTCCTGGCTGTTGTTTCAAATTCCATGTAAACAGATTTCAGTGGCCCCCCCCCCCCTCTATTTCTGGCTGATATTACATCATCGTCTGCGTAGATTAACCATTGCACATGTCTATCATAAATGTTACCTCCTGGGTTTGTAGTTATTTCTCTTATTGCCTTTTCCCTGTCTTAGACCTTCATTTATTGGGAATTCTTTTGACAGTTCGCCTTGTACATTTCCACAGCTTTGGTTCTCCCTCATAGTCATTTTTACTAAATTAACAATAACAAATCAAAATGATACTTGTGAGGAAGTTAGGAGGAGACTAAATTCCGGAAATGCTTGCTACTTCTCAGTCCAAAATATTTTGTCTTCCCGTCTGATTTCTAAGAACCTGAAAATTAAAGTATACAAAACAATAATCTTGCCTGTTGTTTTGTATGGGTGCAAAACATGGTCTCTCACTCAGAGGGAGGAACACAGATTGCAGGGTTTTGAGAATCGGGTGTTGAGGAGGATAGTTGGGCCTAAGAGGGAAGACGATGGGGCGTGGAGAAAACTGCACAATGACGAGCTTAAAAATCTGTACTCCTCCCCCAGTATTGTCAGGGTGATTAAGTCGAGAAGAATGAGATGGGCTGGGCATGTAGCGCGCATGGATGGGACAAGAGGTGTGCACCGGGTACTGGTTGGGAAACCTGAAGGGAAGAGACCGCTGGGGAGACCTAGACGTAGATGGGAGGATAATCTCAGGCGGGATCTATCCGAGATAGGAGTTGAAGGAAACTGGATTTTGTTGGCCCAGGACAGGGTCCGGTGGAAGGCTTTGGTTAATTCGGTGATGAACCTTCGGGTTCGATAAGCCATCTGGTTGGTTGGGTCCACTATTTGGGAAGCCTGAGGGGAAGAGACCGCTGGGGAGACCTAGACGTAGATGGGAGGATAATCTCAGGCGGGATCTATCCGAGATAGGAGTTGAAGGAAACTGGATTTTGTTGGCCCAGGACAGGGCTTTGGTTAATTCGGTGATGAACCTTCGGGTTCAGTAAGCCATCTGGTTGGTTGGGTCCACTATTTGGGAAGCCTGAGGGGAAGAGACCGCTGGGGAGACCTAGACGAAGATGGGAGGATAATCTCAGGCGGGATCTATGGGAGATAGGAGCTGAAGGAGACTGGATTTTGTTGGCCCAGGACAGAGTC